CCACCCACACCCTCCCGCGGGGAGGGCAGCCTGGGCTCCAGCAGAGACCGACCGGTCGGCGGACGGTTGGCGGCGCCCCCACCCCGCCCGGGAGCGGCGCTCCTCTCCGTCCTCCAGGCAGGCCCCAGATGATGGCTGGTGTCCAGTGCGGCTGGGCCCAGGGGCAGGGCGCCCCGGGCCCCCTCAGGGGCGCTGCGAGCGGTGAGCGGGGCATGGCCAACCGTCCGGCTGCCAAAGCTGCGCGCACCTGAGGCTGCGCACGATGCCGCCCGCAGGCGTGGTCACCCTCCGGGAGCTGGCCGACCTGGCCATCGGCACTCCGGAGGTGGGTGCCGTCAACTTCAATGCTCTCCACACGCTCCTCGTGGCCCTGCTCAAGAACCTCAACATGCAGGACACCCGGGTGGACTACCAGCCCCTGTCGGAGCGGAGGCTCTCAGCGATCACGCGGCTCTCGCTCGGCACCCCGCGGGGCTCCATCAGCACCCCGCAGATCGCTGTGTCCAAGGAGAGGCGAAGGAGCAGCGTGACCAGGGTTCCGTCCGTGGTGCTGGAGAGCCAGATAAAGGGCCTGGGCGGGCAGGTCCAGAACCTGGAAGGGCAGGTCCAGAACCTGGGCGGGCAGGTCCAGGACCTCGACCGGCAGTTAAGGACCATGGACAGCCAGATGCAGGGCGTGCTGTCTCACATCCAGTACTTCACCACTCTGGTGGGTGGGGTGGACTCCGAGACCTCGGAGTGGTTAGAAGAGCAGGCGAAAGCCTTTAGCTTGGCCGAGGGGTTGGGTGCTGTGAGGACCCCGCTCATCATTGAGCCGGGCGCGCCCATGACCGAGCAGGGCGCGCTCATGGCCGAGAGGGGCGCGCCCATGACCGAGCAGGGCGCGCTCATGGCCGAGAGGGGCGCGTCCATGGCCGAGAGGGGCGCGCCCATGGCCGAGAGGGGCGCGTCCATGGCCGAGAGGGGCGCGTCCATGGCCGAGAGGGGCGCGCCCATGGCCGAGAGAGGCGCGTCCATGACCGAGCAGGGCGCGCTCATGACCGAGCAAGGCGCGCCCATCACTGAGAGAGGCGCGTCCATGACCGAGCAGGGCGCGCTCATGGCCGAGAGGGGCGCGTCCATGACCGAGCAAGGCGCGCCCACCATGGAGAAGGGCGCGCTCCCGAAGACCAAGCTTGTGCCGGGGATGGGCAAGGCGGTGCCCGAGACAACAAAGCCTCCGCTGGGGGTGGCCGCGCCCACGCCTGGGTTGGTCGCGCCTGCGCCGGGGGTGGCCCCGCCCACTCCGGAGATGGCCACGACCGTGCCTGGGATGGCCAAGCAGATGCCCGAGAAGCCACGAGGGTTAATGAAATTGTGGAAGGACGGTCCCCAGGTGAGAGCATACCGGCCTCCTCCAATCCGCTCTCCCGCTCGGGCTGAGCTGACCGCCATCACGTGGGGGCGGTGCCAAGCCTCGTGCAGCCCCGCCCACGTGGCCCCCACTCGCCTTGCAGGTCATGGAGCTGCTCCAGCAGGTCATAGAAGACGTGAAAATCTTGAAGGAAGACCATGCAAGGGCGCAGGAGTTGCCAGAGTTCAACCCGATGGTGAGGGCGGCGGGGACCCCACCCCGTCTCTCGCAGCCCCCTTCCCGGCCCCTTTTCAGGGAGGCTCACCCACCGCTCATCAGACACCCAAGGATCCCAAAGCCACCCAGAGGGAAGCCGGTTTGGCTCAGGGGATAGAGCGTCGGCCCTCGGACTGAAGGGTTCCAGTTTCAATCCCGGTCATGGGCAGATACCTCGGTGTGTGTCTCTCCCTCTCCCTTCCACTCTCTCTAAAAATCAATGAAGAAAAAAAATCCTCTGGTGAGGATTCACAAATAGATAAATAAGGTGGTCGGTACTGAGAGACAAAGCTCAGTTCCGGAAGAGGCGGGCAGGGATGGAGAGCGTTTTTGGGGTCACCCCTTCAGCCCCCAACGCCCAACCGCCGGAGCAGCAACGCTTTCATTGGAGCAAGACGCGCAGGCCCTTCCCCAGATGCTGACCTGTTCCGGCTCCTGCCTCTGCCCTCCAGGCCTCCCGAGGGGACCAGAGCTGACCAGGGACCCGGCCAAGATAGGCGATGGCGAGGGAGGGCTCAGGCGGAAGCCGGGGGGCCCAGACCCAGGCCCCGCGGGGACTCCGCCCAGAAGCCTTTTTGCCCCCCTGGGTCATTCTAAGCCTTGGGACCCCAGCGGTGCTCATTTTTGTTGTGGAAAGCTTTGCTTTTTAAAAATAATATTTAATAATTTTTTTAAAAGATATATTTTTATTGATTTCAGAGAGGAATGGAGAGAAACATCAATGATGAGAAAGAATCATTGATCCGCCGCCTCCTGCACACCCCACACCAGGGGTCGGCCAGTAATCCAGACATGTGCCCTTGACCAGAATAGAATCAGGACCCTTTGCTCCACAGGCCAGCACTCTATCCACTGAGCCAAACCGGCTAGGACAAAAGCTTTGCTTTTGAAAGTGTGGTGTTTATGTGGTTTTATGGTTTTGGTGTTTAGAGAAAAGGCTTTTTATTTACTCTTAGAATCTTAGATGATGGATGTTTGCCGAAGTTACAAGCTTCAGCAATTTGCTTTTATTTATTTTTAAAAATATATTTTATTGATTTCAGAGAGGAAGGGAGAGAAAGAAACATCAATGGTGAGAGAGAGTCATTGATTGGCTGCCTCCTGCACACGCCCTATGTGCCTTGCCTGCACAGCCAGGGGTGAACCCGAGAGGGGGCAGTGAAGGATGCAGAAGACAGACGAGAACAAAGCCGGGGGCTCCGTGCGACATTGCACTCGCAGGCACTCGCCACAGCTTGGCCGAGTCTATTTTATAGCCAGATTCCAGGAGGCAAAGTAAAGGCGACGTCAAGATGTTTACAACGTTCTCGGCGGTGTCAAACCTACTCAAGGACATGCACCTGGTCAAGCTCTGTTTACTTGCTGCACCTCCCACAGCCCACATCACTCAGCCACGGGGGCCCCCAGATTCGACCATAAGGTCAAGCTCACAGCCACGGCCTCTGGCTGTCATTGTGCTGGGAGGGCTTTGTCCTCCAACCTGGGACTCGCACGTGGCTTTGCCACGAGAGGACCGGGCCCTCTCTTTAGTCCAAGGCTTGGACCTGTCCAAACGCTGTAGCCGCTCTCCACACCCCACTGGGGATCGGGCCCATCACCCAGGCGTGTGCCCAACCTGGGACCCTTCAGGCCGCCGGCCAATGCTCTTTCCACTGAGCCAAACCAGGCAGGGCGGGCGGCAATTTGCTTTTAAGCAGCAAAGTCCTCGCTACCCCCGTCCTTAGAGGCAGTGTCTCCTCCGTGGTTTGTCTGAGGTGGATCCAGGACCACAGGCTCCCATCCCAGCAGTAGCCTTTGCTCCTGGTACATCTGTCCCTACTCCCACCCGCCCCGCCCCACCCCGTGTCCCGTTCTTGTTGGCTTACTCACCTCTGTCTTCCCTCTGCTCCTCTCCCCTGCGAGGATTGGGGGTGGGGGGCCCACAGGAGCGCCTGCTTTGACCTGCCACCTCTGTACTCTTCTCCCAGGAATTCCTGCAGCGGGTTGAGGAAGTAGAGAAGACAGTCAAAAACTGGGAGGAACTCCTGGTAATGTCCGTGAGGGGGTGGGGGAGGAGGGGTGCCCGCAGCCTGGCCCCATTTCTTGGGCTCCCCCAGACCCCCGCCCTGGATGTCTGTGTCCCTCCGAGCGGGGATAATGTGTATGCCCTCTGCCTCTGAAGGGATCCTTTCCATGGCTGCCCAGTGCTCCATCAGGGCCCAGAGGGGACAGGAAGCCAGCAGCCCAGGGCCCAGTAACTTCTCCTGGGGCCAGGGTGGTGGAAGGAGCCGCTGGTCCTGTGAGCTCGGCTCTGTCCTTGAGACCGCCAGATTCAGCTGGGTGTGTGTGCGCAGGCGCACCCATGTTATCTGTGCCCTCAGGAACCCCTCTGTCGGAAGATGACTATGATGACTCCCGGAAAAGAACTCACTATGGTCACCTGGGAGGACCTGGAGCAGGCGATTACTGATGGCTGGAAGGCCTCACAGGTGGTGCCCACGTGGGCAGGGGCTGGGCAGCGGGCTCAGTGGGTTCTCCCACATCTCTGGATTTTTATGTATGTATGTATGTATGTATGTATGTATTTTTAGAGGGAAAGGGAGAGGGGTAGAGAGAAACATTGATGAGAGAGAAGCATCGATCTGGCTGCCTCCTGGATGCCCCCTATTGGGGATTGAGCCTGAAACCCAGGCATGTGCCCTGACTGGGAATCAAACCAGAGACCTCTTGGTTCCTGGGTCAATGCTCAATTGCTGAGCCACACCAGCTGGGCAACCTCTCCCTTAAAAAAATTTATATCCACACTAATAAAAGACAAAGATGCTAATTAACCATACCTTCGCTATGCCCAAGCCATGCCCACCAGCCAATCAGAGCGACTATATGCAAATTAACCCAACCAAGATGGCGGCCAGCAGCCTCAGAGCTAGAGTAAGCTGGAGGCTTGGTTGCCCCAGCAATGGAGGAAGCCAAGCTTCCTGGCTGGCTGTAGCCTCCGCAAAAGGCAACAAAGTTTCAATTATAGAAGCTAAATAAATCCCAGATACCTGCTTCCAGCCAGCCTCCACTGGGAGCTTGGGTGGCTGGGAGCCATGGCCAGCCTGCAAACAGCCATCAGTCCGTCACCCAGGCTGGCCAGGCACCCCAGCAGAACCCCCCTCCCTGAAGGGGGTTTGGCCAGCCTGAAAACGATCCTCAGTCCCTCACCCAGGCCAGGCAACTCAGTGGGACCCCCACCATGATCCGGGACAACCTTCAGAGCAAACCAGCCGGCCCACACCCTTGCACCAGGCCTCTATCTTATATAATAAAAGGGTAATATGCAAACTGACCCTAACAGCAGAATGACTGGGAATGAG